CGATTTCTAAATGCTATGTACTATGTGTAGCAATAACATAGGTACTCCGTACATTGTTTACAACATAGAATGTTCCTTGTACATCGTAGATTAGAGTTGGCCAAAATACCCACGCGGTATGGGCCTTGCAAGGTTATTGAACATTGTATGTTGAAATTTGTTTATTGAATATACAATAATTGCAATTAATTAATTAACATCTCCAGGATGACTTCCGATTCGCGCTGATCATATTTGTACTGCGTATTGCATCAACAGTAGCAATTACCCATTGATATCTTCAGATGTTGTACATACATTTTGACAAGCGAGTCGTGCAAGTTCCATATGCCAAGAGTATGACCCCATGATTGCGTAGTTTCCAAGAAAGCCTTGGAACAAACCCGAGCTCATCCAAACTCTGGCCTGATAGCTACCAGCATCCTGGTACCCGGTACTGGGATTCTTTGAATGGGATTTGGTGGGAATTTGTCGACGTAGTTGTTTACAATTACAATACAATTCCAGCCTTCATTTCAGGCTTTTGTCCATGTTCAGGTAACGGAGTTGCATTTGGGTATATGGTTTTGCACGTGGGGATTGATACCCATGTGTTCCCGGGGTGTCACCCTATTTTTTACCGGGTACGAATGTTGCTCTCATGGTCCCCGATTGTCAGCGTCATCAACAGGAACTAATTCCTGTTCAAGCTTTTGTATCCAAAGTATCCTTATCTGAAGTTTGGGTTGGTATTTGTCCTAGCTTTTTCCATGTACCGTACCAAATAAGCCACCGTATACATACATATTTAAGTTGTACACCGTTAAAAATGATAGCCAATAAATGATAGACAGGGTGATGTACATCAGTGGGTTTGTGGCTTAATAGCTGTGGGTCTTGAATACGCTCGTTGTATTGGAGTGGGGGCATTCGGAAGGTGGACAGGTGGAACGACAGTGGATGTGTGGCTGGGGACGAACTTCTCTTTATGAAGCTGCCGTACGATGATCATGCAAATCTGATTTTCTTGTTATAGGTGGCTTCTTTTAATTGGTTTCTTCTCTATTTCTAGTTGGTTCTTTGCGATACTCTGTCAGTGCACTATATCCCTTGCGTGGTCGCATCATCGAGGGAACCACATGAGATGCGTGATGTGGTATCGTGGTCATCGTGGTCACGCTATACTTCGTACCGCCCGGCAATATCAGAGCAATCACAACAAACACACTCCGTACAAGCCACGGAATACCCCTAGGTAGGCAGAAATGGAGCGGCTATGGATCTACTCCAGAAAAGACGGTATCAAGACAGCCATCCGCGACAAGTGATGCTGCCACCGCAAACAGTTCCATGTGGTCTTTGGTATATTCCAGCGACATCACCACAACTTTGACTCCGCAGCCCCTCGCTCGGATTTGGAACTGAACATGTAGCTATTCAAACAACCCTTTTGATGACCTTCCTGTTATCGCTTTTGTCATCATGGCATGTGGATTGACCCCCAAGCTACCTCAACTCCTTCCAGAACTGCCCCTTCCTGGTCATATAATCGGCTGTATTGTCGATGCCTATCAAACACCTCCTTCCATTATCAAGTTGATGTCCTCAGGCCCCTTCGCTGCCTGATCATTTGCTGATATTTCAGAGCTCTTGCTGCTCTTTTAGTCGATTCTCGATTCTGATGCGCCATTCTCAGCATTTACCAAACCAAATTTCTTATTGACGTACGAACTCCTCTTGTCCTCCATCTTTCCCTTTTTCGAGGCGTCACGTCTTTGCTCTACCTACTTCGACGTAAACCACGCAATCTCATTCTGGTGGCTTGAGGTATCTATCTCTCCGCGATTCTCGAGACCCTGAAATGTCTGCGGGATACGGGGCTGCAGATGCCTAACGGAGGGGTACGATCAATGTCTCTGCAGATTTTGCAAGCGATGCGGAGGTTTTGGTCATACGGCCATTTACTGCAAAGGAAAATCCCACGGGGGACAAAGTGGAGGGCACCTAAGGGGCTCGCACCCTACAAGAATGACGACAATGGATGATTCTGATTGCATTGATAAACATTGCGAAGTGTGTGCCATATTATCCTAACGCCTTTTTTCATTATTGTGCTGACTGAAGAAACCCCGTCTCAGGATTCACCCAAAGCACCAATAGCCATAGCGCAAGTGTCAAATGCGTCGAAAAATGATCGCTCGGCACAGAAATCAGCAACTGATGAAATTCCAACTGCCAAGCGACGAAACTGGAGTGAGGTGGCCGGTAGTCAAGTTGAGACCCTGAATCTAGGACCCGTCGATCGGACCTCCATCCTGGGGCATTTGATTTCAAATGTGCGCGTCGAAATGAGCGAAAGGTACTCTTCTGCGCTCGAGGAGTACGACATTTCTAGATTACTCGAAGACAGCTTGAGTCCAGTCGTGAAGGATATCTGTGAACGAGGCAAATTTGATCTGAACAGGCACGTTCGACCTTGACGATTTGGAAACAGTTGCTAATAACCCTTTATAGTCTCTTAGAAATTGGACAGGACCCAGAAACGAAAAAGGAAGCTGGCGTCTATCTTCGCATTCTATGGAGAGAGGATGAAACGACGAAACGATTTTGGCTTTACGTCGGACAAGCATGCGTGCTGTGTCTGAGAATTCAGAAACACAAAGATCCCAGACATCGTCGGAAGAATATGGGACTACACTACGCAGTGTGGGGCTCTGCCGTGGATATGAAATCAGCCTTTGTCACTCTGGCTAGCCTCGACGCCCCGTCTTCTCCTGAGACGCAGCTAGTTCTCAACCTAGCGGAGATGTGGATGTGCCTAGTATTCCAAACTCTGACTTCCCTTCACCTGGGCTCCTGGTTACCGAAAAACACAAACGCTATGTGGTCGGGTAATCATCTCAATGTTGCGTTGCCATTATGGCAAGGATTCACAGATACGCAAGAGAACAAAGCAATCACTGACGCAACTGGCGGCAGATCAACCTTTCAGCAGTACCTTGCATCTGAGGATCCAGTTATTCGGGCATGGGCGGAACAAACCAGGGATGCGTTCAACGACATACGAAACTCGCCTGACCCGGATATCAGAAATTACTGGTGGGATCTTCACCATGAGCGCATCCTTAAGGCACAGGACACCTGGGGTAGAAAGAAAGCCAGCATGGCTAAGCAGCACCTCGAAGGGGCCAAAGCTCTCGTTACATTATATCCCGGAAATCATGGAAACCATCAAACTGAGGTCAGAGCTGGTAGTTTCAGGTCACTGTTTCACAGACACTTGGGCTTGATCTCCATAACAGCGACGAAGTTATTCTCCAATATCATCTAACACCGACCCCACACCCACACGCCTATGCTCTTTCCGCTTTGAAAACAGATCCTGCTACCCGCTTGGGGTTTCTATCTGCGGTCAAGATAGCCATGGAGGTTTTCATTGCTGGCTAAAAGCGGCTGGGGAGTGCAATTTGCGAAAAATGAACACACTCGTGGACATTCTGGAAGGCTATTCCACAGAGGAAAGCCAGGGGTTCAAGAGACGCTGGTTTGTCACCAAGTCTATTAATAAGTCAAATAGTGATCCTCCGGGGAGAAATAGGTACACTTGATGTCGGACTGCAATTTTCAGAGTTGAGAATAGTTGAGAAATAGCCAATAAGTTTTAGTTGGGTCCAAGTTCAATATTTCTCAGTACTGAATCAGTGTAGTACATCCTTCATGTCGTCCCTTGTTGTGCTAAGATCCCATACTAGAATGTAATATCACCTGGGCAGTCCAGAGGGCCTGGCGTACAATGACTTGATCGAGGCAAGCGAAGTGTTGAGTATGTTAGGTGAAAAATTTGAAGGTAGAAAGTCATTATGAGTCGCTGCAATTTAATGGAATTTAAAGTCAAAAAAGAAAAAGATGGATTTGATGGAGGTGCGCATCCAGAGGAAGAAGGAAAAAAAGATAGACATAGCATGTCCTGGTTTCGATCCAGGGACCTCCGGGTTATGAGCCCGGCGCTCGTTCCCCTGAGCTAACATGCTGATTGGTGAAAGATATATCCTTGAGTAGAATATCACAAAAAATTTTAAGTTGACACTATTTATAGTAACTAATGTTGATACGGCTATAAGATACAGTATAACCTGGTTATAACGAATTAAAGCAGACACAGAAAAAAAATTCGTTATATCCAGGTCTTCGTTAAATCAATGTGCTATACATTATATATATATATATATATATCTCTATACAAATTTAGAACCCAAAACGCCCTAATATCACTACAATTTAGCCCTCCTATTTCCCTCGCTCTTAGTAACCTATTAGACTTCCCTAGAGAGCAATAATCAACTACCCTTTTACCCCGAGAGGAAGGGCTTGAGTCACTATAATTCTTAGGGAGCGACCGTCGGAGCGGTGGACCGAGCTTTTATGAGGTGGGGATCTATTGAAAAGAGGCATTTAATTGGTCAACCCGGCTGACTAAACCTCGATATCACGACCTCGGGAATTTTGTATGGTTGTATGGAGAGCGAAGGTGAATCAACGAAGTTCGTAGTAAGGAGGTTTTAGCGAATTTTGTATGGCAGAGTAAATCAAAGCACCGGTTTCAGTTTGTTATATCCGAGTTCGTTATAACTGGGTTCTACTGTAGCATGCAAGTTTATTAGCACACATGTTAAGATCATTTTCTAACAATTTAAGCGCCAATTCAGAGATAGGTGACTAGTAGATGTTGGTCGCGACTCATGATTATGTCTGCCAACTGAGTCACTTCCGTGACCCTTCCAATTAAAATATCCAGCGCTAATCTCGTTCTAACGCATTTTATGAGCATCAGGCCACCTGGTTACCGACCGGTCCCAATCTGCACAGTGGAAGGCCTCCTTCGTTTACCCTGGCCAATCGGAAAACGATATGCAAACAAACTCCCTCTAAATTACAACCAAGCCAACTCAACATTATAGACCTGCCGGCAGAGTACATACAGCATATTTCCACGTGACCGGAAACCAGCTAAGAGTTGCTAGTTACCAATAGCCGAAATTGTAAGAGATATCAGGCCCCTCCTTCGGCTGCGCCAATGCTTCGGTTGTAGAGAGCCCAGGCGACACGAAAACTTGCTGCAGGAAGTCGCAAGATTCGCCTGAGTACTCTACCGGATAGGGTTGGAGATGGACAGTGACCGAAGAAGAGAGGTCGTGCGTGAGTGCAGCCGGCCTGGTGGCATCGACATGAGAGATGTCTTCGCTTTCGCGTTTCCTTTTCAGACCCTGCGACGGCATTGATATTGGCACAGTCATGTCAAAGCCACGTATGATCTCGGGATCCAGTCCTGTGTAGTATTCCCCAGGAAAATGACCATGTACGTCAAAGGGATGGCCCAGAGGTAAGTCCGGGAAATTTGGTACAGGCGCAAATAATGCCGGCGGAGCATCCTTAGTAGAGCCTGATTTGACACATGCAGATGTGGTGCTCGAGATTGGGGATGCTGGATCAAAGGGGATGCTCTGTCTGGTATATTCATTGTGGTTGAATGTGGCCCCCGTTGCTTCCGGCAGGTTCATACGACAAATCCAGACTAGGCGTTGCCCATCTGCAAACAATAGTGAGATGACTGGCTGACGCGACAACCTTGGAAGACGCTCATGATAACATACCACTCTTCCCCTCCAATAAATCTTCCTCCTCCCGTCGAACCCGATAGATCTCATCCAAGATGCATAATCGCTCTGCTGGGAATATATGCCGGCGAATTCGCTGGTCGGCCTCCCGAAGCTTTCTGGCCGTGATACGGTGGCTAGTACGCAGCTCGCACAATATATGAATTAGAAGCTTGATGCGCTCTGTTGACGGTCAGTCCACTTGACAGGCACCCAATTAGGGTCGGTGTTCTTACCCTCTTTCAGAAGATGGTCAGGCTCTCGGTGCCTCACTCTGCGAGGCCACCAGGGCGGCTTGGTCACCTCTGGGTCAAGCTGCTGAGTGACCCCTGCGACGACCATGCGCCCGTTATACGGAAAAATCATCTGCTTGCGGGGCTCCACCAGCTTGATATAGGCTTTCGCGAGGGCCCGGCAGTTCGTCTGCTGCAGGTTTTGAAATGCCTTCTCATAGTATTTCCGTAGCAAAGTGCGGTCTATAATAGATATCGTGACTTCCGGCCTCCACATTCTGTTGTCATCGCTCCAAACATTTCTTTTTGTGGGGTTCAGACTCTGTGTGTCCCAGGGAGACAAAGACTCTGTGTGGGTCGACTCTGCCGTTGGCGGAAGTAGACTAGCTGGTGGGAAATTTCGTGTTTGCTCTTTGCCATCTAAGCCCGTCTTGCGAGGGGCAATGGGGTGCGAACTTTCTCTAATGGCTGGCGCGGTTTGGTAAGGTGATGCTGGGACGCCATAGTATGCTAAGATTGTCATTTGATCGTACTCTGTGCAGTTAATATGAAACCTACCTTCATCTATCGCCGAACAAGCTTCTCCTGACATCATGACAGCCTTCAAAAAGACATCCGCTAACCGTACCGACAGGGATCCCTGGAAGGTTTTGGCAATCGACCGAGAGCACCGCAAGTGAAGACTGCCTTCTATATCGATAGATATAAGTGCAAAGTGAGAAGGGCCCAATTCACCGTCAATGGATACAGGGGTGTGGCAAGCCATTGAGCTATTGGTGTTGGCGTTCATGGTAGATATAATTACCACAGATACCACCACAGACCACAGATTCTCTGGGGTCCATTTATAGCTGAATGTGACTTGGAGGTCGTTCTAAGTAGGGCGTTAAAGGAATGGAATGAACTGCATGACTCGTCGATAACGATTCTTGCGTTGATCTACCACCTGCATTCCATTGAACCATGTCAGCTGCGGGACACTTCCAATTGGCCTGTCGAATAATATGAACTGGCTCCCGCACCAACTATGGAGTAGATAAGGAGACGATGTCTTGCAGGGCAAACCAGCTAACAACGGACTGATTCCTGGAACTGGAGACTCTGAATATCGAAGCTGGTCTACTGATATGAGACTTGGTGACGCGGCTTAGGTAGAATCAAGCCTTCGGGCAAGGGATGGGCTGGCCATAGGCTTGTCGCAACATGGTCTTCTTCGTCACGTGTCAATCTGTGTCAGAATTTTAGTTAGCGCCATCCGGACCTAACCTTTCTCATACCATCAACTTCGTAGACATGGCTCACTTTTCCAGTAGGGAAGTGGCAATAAGGCAAGGGAGCAAATTGCACCATAGCCCGGGCAAATCCCGAGAAAGCAAGCCAGACGCCGAGCCGGCTAGATTATTTGCCGATTCCCATCTCTTCCTAATTGTAGATCCTCGTTCGTGATCATCACTAGTGTGAAATGAAGGAAGAGATTAAAGCCAGACATTTTCAATTGTTTGAATGTCCGGTGGAGTACATCATAAACTGAGCCCTCTTTGAACAGCTGTCAACTGATAGAGGCCCCCGTCCTGAGCCCTTCCGTCCTCCGGACCATTCCCTCACATCAGAAGCAATGATATTTATCCTCCATTTCTGATGAGTGGTCGGCTCTTTAATAGAGTCTGGTTGGCAGATAAATGACCGTCAAACTTCTGAGTCTGTCACTTATTTTCTTCGACCACTCAGGATTCTCATCTCACATTGCAATACTCCGTATGCACCTCAACGTCTCGCGTAGACCTCTTTCTATAGGTTCACCCAAATATTTAGTTGCTGCATGTGCCTCGTTCTAGACCACGCCGCTGATCACTTTCTGGCTACAGTGCAGGCGACAAGTTGCGAATCAGAGCACCCATTATTTGCATATGGTTAGTTCAAAAGCGCCTATGTTCAGTCATCGTTACCTCTATAAACTTAATAAATTCTAGTATGCCTTCCTAATGTTCTTTCTTTTCTTTAAAAAAAATAATCTGTATAAGATCTTTTTGAAAACCACATGGCACGAGTTACTAAGGCGTTTACCAATTTACCAGTCGAGTTGGAAACCCTAAAAACCTTCTATATAATTAACTAGTGCCTCGGAGCATCAGCAAACCAAATAGATTCGTCCTTTTGATGGAGGTCCGTAGTAAACTCCAGAAGTGTCACTATGTGGGAGGCTAAAACAGACTAGAATCTAGTGAGTTCTCCAAGGGGGCTCTATTCGAATTGACATGAGTTGTCGACTTAGATACACAGAGAAACAAGGTCTTGTTATATTCCATGTTTATAATATTGTTTTATTTTGGTCTTACCCTTTCCATAATGACGAATGCCTCGCGATGCAGCCGAAGGAGGAAGGCAGAGTGGAGAGTGGACCCCGGGATATTCCAAGGTGGGTCCGCGGGTGTCTATCTCAAAAGGGTAAGTAGGATGGGTCTGCTCTAGGTTAGCAATTAAGTCGAGAGATAGTGAAATTAGGTCCTTGAGTTACTTTTCAGGGATCGTATCACATATGCAGTATATCGTTTGTCATGCTTGTATCATATATTTATAGAAGCTGTTGGAATCATCCTAGAAGCAGTCGCCATCCCTCACGTAGCATGTAGTGTAACTAGGAAGATGAATGGCCGTTATCACGCAAAATCCAGAGCCCCTCGAGGAGCTGAACCATATAGAGATTTATAGGTAGCCGGTTAAAGGAGTACACAGCTCGTAGTCTCTACAGAACCTGGTTGCAAACAGCAATCCGTCCTTTTCAGCTCCGATCCAGCTGCAAGGAGTGGAAGCAACTGGAAATTCAAGTAATTCGAGGTCACAGGAATCTCGAGGAGATGATACACAGTTTCTACAGCATAACTATCCAAAATGACAAGCATCGTGTGCACCGATATTGCGTATAGTAGCTTCATTTTACAGCCGTCAGCTGACTATTTGCCATGCTTGGCAACACTAGAAGAGCGGAGATGCAGAAATCTGATCGATCAATTCAGCCAAAGAACTCACTACAGTTCGTGAACTGCGTATAGGGTGGAGATAAGCCGAATCCCTGCATGATGGCTTTAAAGTCCTCTTGCCGATCATTGTCCCTTGGGGTGATGGGTGCAGGTCCGGAATGCTTAGACATGCTTTTTGACGATTAAACCTGCTTTTAAAGCTTTTGAACGATTAGCCCTGACTTTCAACGATTAAGATGATAAGTTAATGAATTTCAAAACTGGGAACAGGAATAATTGGACACAGGGCATGATCTTGATGAAAGACCCATTGCCAGTTAGAAATAGAAAAGGGAAAATTAATTCCCTCTAATTTATGACCCTGGCGAAGGATCCAGATATGAAAGCACCCTGGAGACTACTACTGAGCTATCTCGTCACGCAATCAAGGGAGTCGCAGGTCCGTATTCCAGGTGAGGAGTTTAACCATTTAGCCTATCCAATGAGGTCTAGCGATATCCCCGTTCGGCCGAGAGTGCGGACTACTCCGTACATGATTCAGAGCATCCTTTAAACCTTGGAAGTCTGCTTCATGTAAGTAAGCTCCACAGGTCCCTGCGGGAAAGGGTGCGGTAAACTTTGAGGATGTGGATGTTTGGCCCTGCTCGATACTATGTAGGTATATACTTCCAGGTCGTGCCGAGGTTGGCGCGTTAAATCATTGTCCAAGGGCCTGAATTCCAAATTGATTACACAATTGGCTAGTTCAATAAGTGCTTCACCAAGCAGCTCGGAGCGAATATGGTAAATCCCGGTTTGCAACCGTTATGAAGGGTACATGGATGGTGGCAGTAGAACAAAGGGATCGTGTCTCCTGGACTATGCATGCAGATACATGTCGACGTCGTTCCATGGCCCGGCCCGACCCTGTCGATTCCCTGGCATGCGACTGAGATATTTGGAAAGGGGCGATCAAGACACTACTCGATCGTAGATGCCTAGTATTATATATCGGATAATTGAATATAGTATAATTCAGCACGGACGTTATCACTGTCTTTTTTTACACTCTCGTTTTCCCCACGTGGTAAATGTCCGTAACACAAAAGGAATTCTCTAGTAAGGTTATTGTCTGGAATCGCACATAATGTAGGAAAAAGGCCCAGCAGATGAAAATGGGGTAGGAGAACTATCTTAGGGGCTTCGAGTAGCCCCCCGGGGGTCGGAGGTACGGTGGATGACCTTGGAACTGAATCCTGCGGCAAGTGATAGAGAATAGATGAACCCCGTTTCAATTTTGCGTCATCATGCTCCAGGGCATTGCTTTTTTGTGGGAACAAAAGTGGAAGATTACGCGCCTTATGAAATAGAGGCACTGTGAGAAGTGAGGACTATCAAAAAATTACATTGCAAAATGAATGGTACTGTGGGGCAAAGTGCTTATCTGGGTATGGACCGCTCATTGGACCTCACTGATCACATGACTGCTTTGGGCTTACTGAGTCTGCACTGAAACTTACTGGGTAAGGTTCTGACCAGATGAAATATGGATGGTAGGGAGAGTGACCTATGTTGTGTGTAGGTGACAGAGTCATAACGTAAAAAGGTTCAAAATGGAGGTATGCAGATAGCTTATAAATTTTCGAGGGGAACAACATCATATCCCATCAGCATGTTAGCTCAGGGGAACGAGCGCCGGGCTCATAACCCGGAGGTCCCTGGATCGAAACCAGGACATGCTATGTCTATCTTTTTTTTTTTCTTTTTTCCCTCCTTCACTTTCAATTAAAACTCCACAGTGGCATATGATTTTATGTCGTAGCTATTAAGGTACCTACATGTAGATAGTTGGTTTCCTGTCTGTATCTCTTCCTTTATAGCTTTCGGTTTAGTTCTGCTAAATGATTTAACTTTTGTATAAACTATATGCGGAACATGTATCACCTACTAACTAGGTGTCTATATATAGTATTTATTGACTAGATGTTCAAGCTTTGCATAGAGAGTAGTAACACTGTGATATGCTAAACTACTAACATGAATAGTTTTCCAAGGTTAATCCTTTCCTAAGCTTGAGAATAGCCATACATCTTTGATCTCAATGCTAACTTACCCTGTTTAATTGGATACTCCTGTCTTGATCGAATATATACAGGCTCTCTCGATCCCACCCTCGTTATAGTTATTAACGAGCCACTCAAACGCAAGTCATTTTCCATGGTGCAACTGCAAGCTGCCTCAGGCCACCAACTAGTTACAAAGCTGTACAAACGACCCTTAGACACCATGCAAGTGCTTCATTTATATGCTTGGTTACTTGCGCTCACAGCATTACGCCTTGAGCTTCATATTCTTAATTCAATTTCCCAGAGAACCTTTATTATGCAAATCTGATAACTCCAACCTATCGTCGATCATACTGGGGGAGGGGATCTCCAAAGTGGGGGTGGAAATCTCCGACTAGCCAGTCTCATATCTGGCATTTATATCCATCAAAGAAACTTAAAGCCACTCAAATCCTGTTCATTTTCCGAGCATAAATAAAGTCCCATACCTCCATGAACCTGAATATTCTCAAACAAGCAAAGTAACCATCGCCGAGGGGAAAAAGAAAAGAAGAGAAGAAAAGAAAAAAAGAGGGTCATTCGGCCAACCTGAAACCAACCACCAACCACCACCAGCCCAACCCAACAAGCCACCCCATACAGACAAAATGGGCCAAAAAGCCTCCGTCCCACAACCCGGCGCACGAATGCAAGTGATCGGCGCCGGGCTACCACGCACAGGGACCTCATCATTCAGCCAGGCGCTGGAAATCCTCCTGGACGGACCGGTGTACCACTGCGGCACACAAATATCCATAGGCCCACCATCAGAGATAAAAAGCTGGATGCCAATTCTGCAAAACTGGCTCAAAAAAGACGACAGCACAAGCCGCGCAAAGATGCTCACCCTCCTGCGCCGCCGATTGGCCGGCTACGTCGCTATCACCGACTCCCCAGGCTCCGAGCTCGTCCCGGAACTCATGGAGCTGTACCCGGATGCCAAGGTCGTCTGCACCGTCCGTGACCCCGTCTTGTGGGAGACGAGTATGCTCCATGTGCAGAGTTTGACGGGCGTTTGGTTTGCGCGTGCTGTCCTCCTCCCGCTGGACGGGTTGAGACATTTTATCCCGTATGGGTATTTGCTCGCGGCGCTGTGGGAGAGGCTTTATGGTGGTGTTGCTGGTCAGCATGGGAGGGAGACTTATGAGAGTCATATTGCTTGGTTAAAGAAGGTTGTGCCGGAGGATAGGTTGGTTTTCTTTGATGTTAGGGATGGGTGGGGGCCGCTGTGCGAGGCTCTGAGCGTCGAGGCTCCGGTTGGTGTGCCGTTTCCCCGTATCAATGATTCTGAGGCTATTGAGAGGTCTGTTAATCATCATCTCCGGAGGGGTCTGACGCGCTGGGCTTGCATATTTGCCATGCTTGGCGTTGGGATGGCGGCTTTTCGCATGTGGAGGTGAGAGGGGGGTGAGTGACCATGTGTCTTCTTTTTTTTCGGTTGCGGATATTGGTATTTTGGATTTTTGAATTTGTGGGACTTTTGGAAACCTTTTGGTGTCGTCAAACTTCAACACTTCAGCGACTTGCATGCCTTGGATGATGTCCGTTTCTTTTCAGGGTCAGATGGAGCATCAGGCAAAGACTCATCACGAAAAAATCAGATAGGTCGGTTTATACAGCCATTTACATAGATAGCCATTTACAAACGGTACTTATGACATCTATGTCCTTTGGAACATGTTATCCAAGATATGAAACCGAAATACATTGCCCAAATATTATACATACATAAGATCTATATACAGCCAACCTTGGAAGCGTAAATCCGATGTCATTGACAAGCCCCCTCGAGCGATGGTGAACTGTCACTCCCAGAATCATGTCTTTCGAAGGTAGTTTCGATCTCGGTATGAGCGAAGATCTTGCCTTGGGGGATAATGCGCTCCTCGCTGGAGTTGCTGGCCGCGCCAATATTGGTACCCATGGGAACATCCTCCTTTCCGGTAACTGTGACCATAGTGATGCTGTTTGGATCTCTGACCTTGGCGAATCCAGATGCATACCGCGGGGCATTGTTTTCGCTTGACCAGGGGCCGGATTTCTTCCCACTGCTGTATTCGCCGATGAAGCGGGGCAGGAAACGGGATGCAATCGCCTTGAATGACGGGATTGAGGCAGCAAGGAGGCCGATGTTGGTTTCGATAACTGACCAGTCCATGGCACCCCTGATGGCGTAGGTGGAGTCCTTCGAGCTAAGCATGGCAGGGATGTGGGTGATTCGGATGATAGAGAAGACGCAAGCGCGAGATAATATGTTAGAAATTGTCCAGGTGGAAGCACTGTGGTGCACTCACAAAAGACCAAGGCAGAGGATAAAGGCCAGAACAATCTTCTGTTTCTGAGGAATCTGGAGATGGAAGATTACCTTGATAGGCAAGGTACAAGTTAAGAGATCGGTGACAATGTTCAGGACGGCGTTGCACAGGTAGAAAAGGTTGATGTTGACGCATTTCCCGGGTCCAGTGCCAGTCCAGTCCATGCTAATGGGTTGACATTGGAATGCAGCCACGAGAACGAATGAGATGGCCTGCTCCATAATAATAACTCCCAGCATAACCCGGGGCATGCGAGTGAGATAGAAATCTCCGTATAGGGTATAGAAGCACAGGACGGAGGTTTCGATGAATCCAAGTATTGCAAGATAGAATATTGAGCTCAGCCAGACGGCCTGGGGAGAGGTTAGAAATGTAATGCCGCGGGGGATCGGGATCCGCATTCTTACAAAAGAATAGTCGACCTTCTTGGTCGGGTCAACACCCTCAATGTGTTTTCCAAGCCCATGTTTGACCGCTAGACGATATTAGCTTCTGCAAAGAGTTGTAGGAAGGGAAACTAGAACATACCGACCAGTGTGGCAGCAATGAAGGACCACGACAACGCCTATTTCCATTAGTTATGAGTGTTGTTGATCATATGGCCAATTCTTTTGACATAAGCGCAACCAATGAGGTCTGGAAGATGTTAGTATAGTGCTGGTAAAATATATCAGACATAATCCACTTCCAGTCGTCAATACCCATTTGACCCAAGACGAAAATGCGTGCAAAGAGACGAAAAGCTAAAACAATAAAGGTCAAGGCGGCAAATGCCACGCTGACACCTACGACCATGGGGCCTTGAGAACCATCGGCGCCGGCCATAACGAGGAATCTGGAGGGATTAACCAAAAAGGAAAGAGAAAAAAGACCAGAAATCGATGCAAAGGAAGAAACTAGTTTAAGTGAATGGCATATATATTCGTTTCACCTGTCCATCTCGTAGAGAATGGATGATAAAAAGATGCAGTATAACCAAGAAAATTAAAAAAAGAATGGCTAGTACACTGGTCTACAAGTAATATAGATGTTTATGTCTGATGCCTCTGGGACAAGTCCGAGTAAAATGACTGCGCACACAAGGAATGCGCATCCGGTGCATGGACCTAGTAGCCTCGGAGATTCACTGTACACCATCGAGAAGGCCGTTCGAAAAAGAAAGCAAAAATGGTAGGGATTTGCGCGGCCTTCTCTTTTTAGGGCAACACGAGACATACAGAGTATCAGAACCGAGCGTCTCCACCATTCGAGACCTCTGTTGATCTATTGCTAAAATATGCCGTGTATGGGGGCTCCAGGTTCAGGTTAGAGAAAGAAAAACAGGAAGAGCCCTGGGCTTTCTAGCGCTATGTATGGTTTGCCATTCAGACGAAATGCTGTCTCCAATTGTCGAGGTGCCGTTGGATATATCATTTGGCAAAACCAAGCACCAATACCTGTTCGGATGGACCTTTGTTCCAACAAGGAGACATCGTGGTTTAGCAAAGATATCCTAAAGACCAGGATGGGATTGGCTCGAACAGGTATCGTGGGACATATTAGACGTCTCAAAGGCGATCATTATAATTATTGACAATTGGAAAATGCATTGCCAAGTTGGACCATTACCTATAACTAACAAGACAAAGCAAAAGGAAGAAATATGATTTGATAAAAATAAAAAGAGTCCGTCTCCGAAGATCCATATGGAGAGATCTGATTTATTTTGTTTTCATGCTCAACCACACGATGGTGATCTTAATATCTTAACGTGTTCCAGGTTGGATACGTTATACGGAGTCGTATACGATAACCCTAAATCCAATAGACCAAAAAAAAGAAACAAAGGGAATAGAAAAGCGAACGGAACATACATCGAAGATTTCAGGAATCTTGCCAAATATCGGATAATATCTCGAGGAGAGCTGAGCGATCTGCGCGATCTGCGCGTTTCAAAGCTCCGAGAGCTTCCAAGTGCCCATGGAGTAGCGGACAATGGCTTGTAATCGAATCCCCATGCAGCTCACCTGCGACCCGACTCCATTTGCCTTCCCGTCGTGAGAGAGTGGGTCATTATGCCTTGTTAAGCGAGATTGACCTGTGAATGATTTGGAAGGCTGCGTCTCAGATGTGATATCAGTAAAAATTTGCACACATTTTTAAGAATGTGCTACGAAGTAGGAAATGGAACTTTTATACGACAAATCTTAATATCAACACCGTTTACCCAAAGATTCTTGCTTATCAATTTCAATTTATTATTCCCCGGACTAGAAGATACGGTACTATTGCTTCCAAGCTAACAGGGATTAAGAAGAACAATATACATAGACATTGTCATATTTAACTAGCAATAGTTGATCACTAACTGTCTCACATAATATACCTGTTTTTCTCTTCCCCTTGGGGGAGAAAGCAGCGGAGAATCCAAAGTCGGAGTCTAACTTTTTTCGAGCACGGATGGGGTCCTCTTGTGTTGGTGCCAGTCGAAGTCAACGATAATTCACGATAAATGTTGAGGCTAGGTACCTCCTGTATGGCATGCCTATACAAGATGTACAAGCCCACCTTTTTGCTAACAGATGTACCCTGCGTTCTGAGAAACACTGGCTCTTCCATGGAGAACGCCAGCCTCTCCACAGCCTTGCGAGGTACGTACTCTGTTGTTTCCGTCTCTGTGCAAGTCTCGGGAACCCCTAAAACGTTGTCTCGCACCTGGCAAGGAACCCCCAAGCATCTAGTACCCAGTGCTGATCATTGTTCAGATATTTGTGGGTGGCGCCTCTTCCTAACTACCGAACCCGCACGGCCCCCCGTGACAGCTGGCAACGTCTTTCTCCATATCCAGAACATCTTTACTATTTTACGCAACTAATTCTATCACCACGGGATTGGTCTTGGTTAGGAATGTGCGCAGCAGGTGAGCCCAAGGGCCGATTCTAAGTTAGCCGCGGAGTCGCAATTCGTCTTATTCACCAATGCTCTAGCGCAAGGACTAGCACCAAAGGGGAGGGGCAGATGCGCGGCTGCCAACATGTCGAGCATATCTTCAATCGTTTAGACCTAGTTTGGTCTAGAGCTGATTTCAGGCAAGCCTCAGCGTCGTGGGGTGTTGTTAGCTCGACATAGCCCTTGGCCAAACAGCATTGACCAATGACCTTTTGGCTCTTACCACAATGGATATGCAGTCTAATGCTCATGCTCATTTGGGGTCCTAATTTCCGGAGGGGCTATTTTCACCCCTCGATCATAAAGACGTGTTTTCATCCTCCATGCATCTGCATCCCTAAATCCGCCATGGGTCTTGCGGAAAATGCCCTGTCACTGGTGACGGCGACCAATGCCATCTTGGGTCTTGTGGCCTATGTCGCGCTCAAGTTTGGTTGGCAAGTTATTTACTATCGCTTCTTCAGTCCGCTCGCGAAATTCCCCGGTCCTTTCTGGGGCTCTGTAACTCGTCTCTGGATTGCATGGCATAATCTGCAGGAGACCGAGGTACCAACTGTTTACGCGCTTGCTAAGAAATATGGTTGGTCTTGATCCTGTCTCCCAAAGGAATGTTGTTTCTAACAAGTGAATTCTCTCAGGCCCTGTTATTCGCATTACCCCGACTTTGTTGCTGGTCAGCGATCACGAAAGGCTCCCGGAAGTCTACCACCGCAATGCAGACAAGACCGGACACTATATTACTGGAAGCTTCGGCGAGACCGAGTCTCTGTTCAGCATGAGGTCTCACAAGACCCATGCCGTATCTAGAAAGCACGTTGCTGGACCGGTATGACAATATACGAGTTCACTTGCAGATATCACAAGCTCACCCTCAACATAGTACAGCTTCAGCAATATCAAAAAATGGAGCCACTGATTGATGCGCGCATCACAGAATGGAGCACCAAACTCAACGAGAAGTTCGTGAAGAGCGGCGAAGCCTTCGACTTCTCCTGGTGGGCAGTGTAAGCATACGAGCCAAATGAGACAGTAGCCCGACTGACGATACAACCAGTTACATGGCCTACGACATCATCAGCGAAATCGGCTTCGGCGAGCCCTTCGGCTTCATCGAAAAAGGCGAAGACATCGGCGGCCTAATCCAAAGCTTTCACGACGGCCTCCCAGCCTTCGGTCTCCTAGCCCGCCTCCACCCCTTCACCTCATGGGTAAAAACCACCTTCCTGAAAAGTACCTCGTCGCCACACCAGCAGATAACTCCGGCATCGGCGTGCTAATGAGCTTCGCGACCGGCTCATCGACCAACGCATCAAGGACATCGAAAACGGCAAGAAAACTGACCGCACAGACCTGCTCCAGACTTTCCTCGACGCTACCACAGAAGACGGCAAGCCCCTCGATCTGCAGTACATCCGCGCCGAAGTCCTGCTCGTCCTGCTCGCTGGCGCGGACACAACAGGCACCGCCTTCCAGGCCATGGTGCAGTTCCTCATGACCAACCCGGACGTGTACGAGCGTATGATGGCGGAAATCGATAGCGCCGTCCGTAAAGGGCTCATCTCGGATATGCCGCAGTACAATGAGGTCCTGGAGCACTTGCCTTTCTATGTTGCCTCTGTGAAGGAGACGATGCGTCTGTGTCCGTCTGCGCCGACTATCTTCCCCCGGTATGTCCCTGAGCCGGGGCTCGATCTTTATGGTTATTTTGCGCCTGCGGGTACGGAGATTTGCTGTAACCCGTACCTTGTGCATCGGGATCCGAAGCTCTATGGGGATGATGCCGAGGAGTTTAAGCCTGAGAGGTGGTTGGATGCTGAGAAGGCCAAGTCGTATAATAAGTATAACTTTTCGTTTGGGTATGGGTCGCGCGTTTGTTTGGGGAGGGATATTGCTATGATGGAGTTGTTCAAGGGTCCTTTGCAGGTGGGTTCTTTTCCGGTTGCCCTATGAGGCCCGGTGTTATTTTCGGAGTGCTAATGTGTCGTTTAGTTCTTCCGTCAATACAAGCCGGAGACTGTAAAGGGTAAGCCCGAGGCCAAGTTCATGATCAAAGGTGGTATTGGGTACTGGAGAGACGTGTGGTTGACCGTCTCTCCCCGGCCAGAGGTGAAGGCTGAGTAAAAGCTTGGTTGATCATAATAACCCAGACAGAACGGCGCTTGGTACAGTGATGACCAACCCAGCACGTATTTGAAGCCAAAGTGAGGATGATGCTGTCCCTAAGATGCCATGAATGACAACGATATCTCTACGGAACGTCTGTTGACTATGATATAATTGACCGAAATGGAACCATATGTAGATGAGGACTATCGTATGAACATGGCAAACAAGATGTAAGTCAGGACAAGTTTTGAATGCTTTTAGTAACCCGCCCACCGCCGGTAGAACATGGAACATGGTATGGCGTCAAACATGGAAAATGGAGAAAAAAACCCGAGATATTCACGAGGCATTCATAATCATTCAGCAGTACCCATGACGGCGTCCTAAACACAAAGACAATAAATGTTAGCCAGGGAGCTAGAGAGGGAGGATATAACCAAGGTGCTTGCTTACTCTTGCCTCATGGTACAAAGGAGTGATACCAGTCCAGTGAACGAACTGGTGAACACCCTGTCCAACAAGGACCTCCAGTCCAGGAATGGTGCTCCAACCCGCATCAGATGCAAGCTGCATCAAGGCGGTGACGGTAGGCTTGTATGCCATCTCAAGAAGCACACGGTGTTTGCTAGCATCGGAAGACTTGCCGATCAGAGTACCGTCGATCTCCTGAGCGCGCTCGAACATGTGACAGAGCGTCTCGCGCATGACAGGGTCGATGGGACGGTCGGCGGGAATCGTGCCGATAGCGACCCGGGGAACGGTGTCAAGCTGGGCCCGGTTGTCCACAATGCGGATGTTGTAGTTGGTCGGGAAGGTCGAGGCCATGCCCTCGAGCTTGCTGGCGGTACGGCCCACCACGTAGATGGGGGAGAAACCCATGTTGTGGAGAGCGAAGATGGCCGCACGGGCAGTACCGCCGCCGCCGATGACCACGGCACTCTCGTTGCCGGTGGAACCGTAAACGCCTGCGTTACGCATGCATCGGATCATGCCTTGCCAGTCGGTGTTGTAGCCAATAAGACGAGGGGGCTTCTCGCCGTTGGGGACAGGTACGATGGTGTTGACGGCGCCGATGATTTCAGCCTCCTGAGCGACTTCGTCGAGCTGGGGCATGATGTCCAGCTTGAGCGGGATTGTCACCGAGGCACCACCGAAGTCGGGGGCGCGGATGAAGTCCTTGACGTCTTCGACGTTGGTAGTGTCCAGGCGAGAGTACTCGTGGGGTAGACCCATTTTGGCGAAGAGGGTGTTGTGAAGGGCGGGAGACCGCGAGCCAGATATCGGGGAACCGAAGATAGCGAACTTCTTGGCCTTGATCTCACCCATCAGGGAGAGACCACGGCGAATTTCTGCAGCGGACAGTTGCCCAGGTGCCGCCTTGAAAGGAAGGCTAGGGTGAGACACCGGGGTCATGAAGCCGTTCAGGATACGGCTGAGCTGACCGCTGTCGCCCATGTTGATCGCAATCAGCGGCACATCGTGGGCTTGTTCAGCCCATGTCTTGAACTTCCGAAGGGAGTTGTTATCATCAAGGGTATTGGCAACACCGACGAGCTTGATCACATCGCCGTACTCGAGAGCACGGTTGTAGGATGGGATCCAGGACATATTGGCCCACGACAGAGTGCCCTTAGGATCATGGTGCGAGGCGATGATCTTAGAGTAACCCTTCATCTCAGTAACAGCACGGAGCATTGCATCGGGGAACGCGATCTCAAGATCCACGAATTCGCACCCACAACGGAACGCTAGTCGGTACAGCTGCATCGCCGCATCATGAGCATCATCGGGGAAGCGGCCACCTTGACTCTTAGTGCGGATGGTGAAGATGAGTGGTAGGGTGGTACGACGGCGAAGGATAGACATTTGCTCGTTGACGTAGTCAATCGAGGGAATATCGCCGTCAACCGTAGGGTCCTTCAACAGGTCGACCCGCAGTTCGACGGCATCAGACCCGACACAAGCCTCAGTGATAATATCGCCCGACGGTTCGATATCGGGCAAAGTCAATGAGACGAAGAAGCTGTGCTTCTTCTTCTTAATGAGGCTAAGGCTGTCTACTTGGCCAGTGACTACCCGCATGAAACGGGTAAAGTCCTCTGAGGCAAGGCCTAGCTCCGTTGAGGTGGAGTGCTGGCTATAGTACTGGATGTTACTGCACTCTTGGAACCAAGGCTTACGTCGTAGCCACACGCCCATCATGTCCTCCACGTAGGCAGGGCGGGTCTTGTCGATCTGGAGGAAGTCCATCACTAGCTTGATGTCGCGCATGATGAGGAGCACGTTGCCCTTGCTTTTATGGTAGTCGGTAAGCAGCTTTCGTGCCTCTGGCATTTCGACGACACCTCCGCCGCAGGCGAAGACATAGCCAGTAGGATGATCCTTAAGGACGCGCTTAAGGATAGCGAGTTCTGCATCTCTGAATCCCTCCCAGCCGCGTGTTTTGATAATATCGGGGATAGTCATACCCTCGGAAGCCTCAAGCTCTGTGTCAAGATCGATGAATCGACGATCAAGAGCCTTAGCAACCCAGTTGCCAGTGGTGGTCTTTCCAGCGCCACGCATACCGATGATGAAGACAGAGGCGCTGCTCCGCTCCTCTTCACTTGAGGCGGTATGCTCAGCTTCCTCCAGTTCCTTGCCGTTAAGGTTCACGCTGAACATTTGCTTCAAGGCGTCCCACCAGCCAGGCCAGGTTTTGCCAACACATTCTTTCTCCAGAAGAAGGGTAGACTGGGGAGCGATAAGAGACAGCACACTGAAACTGAACGCGACCCGGTGGTCATCGTAACAGAACACACCACCGGAAGGCTGGCGAAGGGTAGAACGCTCAATGCCGTCGATCTCAAGTCCGTCGTCATGTTCGCGGCATACCACCCCGAATTTAGCCAGTTCGTCTTTCATAGCCTTGATACGGTTGCATTCCTTGACACGCTGGTTTGCGATACCGTAGATACGAGTTGTGTGGTTTGAGCCCTTGCCCTGCGCAACGGCCGCAAGAACGGAGGCAGTAAGGAAGGCATCTGTCATGGGCTCCATATCCACGTTAGGCAGGGGCTGCAAAACGCCATCAGTAGGTCCGGTGACAGTGGTTGAAGTATCAGTCTGTACAACGGAGCAGCCCATAGGCCCTAGAACATCCACTGCGAAACGAGCATCGCCCTGAAGAGACTTGGAGCCAATGTTAGGGACGGTGCAGGTGGTGCCGCTGACGGCAGCAATGGCCAAAGGATAGGTTGCAGAGCTTGCGTCGCTTTCCACAATGTATTCGGCAGGGTTCACGTAGTGACCTTGAGGAATGTGGTAGGTGTGCTCCTCGGTGGTAGACTTCTTCACGTCGATGCCGAAAGATCTCATCATCGCAGTGGTCATGTCGATATAAGGCTGCGAAATGGGCTTACCGCCGACCAGCTTCAACGTCACTGGCTCCTTGGCATACGGAGCACACATGAGCAGCGAAGAGACGTACTGAGAAGAAACTTTAGCGGCCAGGTTAATCTTTCCCCCTGCGAAGCCTCCAGAAGCGGCGATCTTGAGAGGAAGACATCCCTTGCTTTCCATGTACTCGACACCGGCACCGTTAACGGTAAGAGCGTCAACAAGATCGCCAATGGGCCTTTGCTTCATGCGGTTGTTGCCGGTCAAGACACTCGAGTCGACACTGCTGGGAGTAGCGAGTGTAGCCACGGTGGTGAGGAATCGCGAAGCAGTACCGGCGTTACCCAAGTACAAAGGTGTAGGGCTTGCTATGATCTTTCCACCTTTGCCGTTCACAACAAGGACCTCGCCTTCCTCCTCCCAAGAGAAAGTTGCCGCACCGAGCCGCTCTAGGGCATTCAACATGACTTCAGTGTCGTCGGAGTGCAAAAGATTCTTGATGCGGCAGGTTCCAGAACCAAGCGCAGCAAGTACAAGGGCACGGTTGGAGATACTCTTCGATCCGGGTGGTGCGCAGGTGACATTGAGCGATTTGGGCACTCCGGGGTGAACCTCAATGCTGGGAGCAAGGACGACACCAATATCATCATTAGAGACGACACTGGCCTTTGGCTCGTGGGTGCGGCCAATTGCCGACAAGAGTACAACCTTCTTTTTCGGGCCGTCGTTTTTCTTGTCCAAAGCCATGTTGAATAGCAATTGGTCTACAGAGCAGTGCTTACCAGCAGTTAACTTACGAACCCGTGGATCTTTCATGGAAGTGGGCAAGCCGTAGGCCGAGATGCACTTCACCACGCGAGCGACAGCAACACCCTTCAGGATGCCCAAATGTCTCGCAAGCTCTGCTTCCTTTACCATGCCGATTGCGACACATTCGCCATGAAGGATCTGAGGGGTTAGGATCGCTTCAATGGCATGTCCAATAGAATGACCCCAGTTGAGCAGGTTGCGAAGGCCGCCCTCACGCTCATCCGCGGAGACAACAAAGGCCTTGTGACGTGCCGATGCCAAGATTCTAGCCTTCAGGATATCCCGGATGTTGTCGAAGCGACCTTGGCCAGCCTTCGGCTCGCTGCGCACAGCAGCCAAAATTAAATCGGCATTATCCTCCAAGGCAGTGAACTCCTCTTCACTTGAGATAGCAGCAGTCTTAATGACCTCGGCCATGCCATTGATGAACTCTCGGACGGGGAGAGTCTCGAGGAACTCAAGATCAATGTAGATTCTCGATGGCTGCCAGATAGAACCAATAAGGTTCTTACCAAGGGGAGTGTCAATAGCTGTCTTTCCTCCGATTGAGGAGTCCACCATGGCAAGGAGGGTGGTCGGGACCTGCACGAAGCGTACACCTCGCATGTAGGTTGCTGCAACAAATCCAATCAAATCTCCAATCACACCACCACCCAGCGCAATGATCACTGTGTCTCTACCACATGGCGGGTTCTGGCTCAGCATCCAATCTTCGATGTCGGCTTTTGTCTGCCGTGACTTGGAGCTTTCTCCGGGGGCCACATGGTGGATGAGGAGCCGCGGGGGTGGGGTGATGGAAGCAGCGGCGGCCCCAAAGGTCTTTTGGA